TCTCTGTAAAAATCTGACAACAGGAAAAAAAACTAAAGTCCAAGGGCCAGGAAATTGAGAACCTGCCCACTCCACACACCTCTGATTTATTCTGCAGATGACAAAGCAAGAAAAAAATCCAAGAGGCAAAACCCACACGAGCACACTTGTCACTGGGTGCATTTGCAAAATGCTGCTGAAATATTGATGTTGGACTTTAATGCACTCAGCAGAGTGTCTCAGCATTGCTGAACCCTTCCAGTTCCCCACACCACTGAAAAATTGAGGTCTGGAGAGGAACATCAACGTTGGGCTGGCCCTCTGGGTTCTTTATGGCAGTAGAAACCAGCCTGTGCCTGGCTTGGGCTCCTGGAAACCAGAGCTCCAGAAATGAGGATTTTTGATTTTTAGTTGTCAGCAATGCCATCAGCTGGGTTTTTTTCCCCCCCACCATGGAGAGATGAAAAGCCACCATCCTTCTTCCACAGGGGGAGGGATAAATAAGCAGGGCAGCTTGCTATGAAGGATGCAGTTTCTGGCCTCCTGTTGGGAATCACAGAATCCTTTAGGTTGGAAGTGACCTCCAAGATCATCCAGTCCAACCATCAAGCCAACACGACCAAGTTCTCTGCTAAAACAGATCAGAATCTGTCAGGGTTGGAGGGGACCACAAGGATCACAGCCTGTCTTGAGCAAGGAGCATCCCTCACCTTCCTCTGGGATTCAGGCATCTGTCTTCTGTGCTAGGAATACACCAACTTCTACTATGGAAAGAGTCAGATCATCAGATTTCTTCTAGGACCTAAATTGTCATGTCATCTCTTTTCAAAAACATTGAGGACTTCTCCTTCAAAAGGACACAGCCTGAGCAAGAGTCACTTTGAGTCATTTCAGCTCTTAGTTCAGTGGCTAATTCCTACAGTAAGGGACTTTGCAACTAACTCACTCCCTTCTCCTCCAGGACAACGTTTTAAACACCATGGTTTAGACTGTCCCCTGCAGCCAACAGTGCCTTTTGCACAGCTTCAGAGAGAATCCCTGAAAATTAGCTAGCATTAAAAAAAAAAAACAATGGGTTTTGCTGCATCCCTTGCTTTGTTCTTGCTTCCATTCCAAGTGGCAACACTCAGCTTCCTGTTTTCAATTCTGTATAATGTTACCAATTTAAAGCTCTGGATTTAAATTGTCCATGCCTATGCCTGCCTCAGGTTGAATTTGATCAGAAAATTTCAGCTTAAATCTTTGGTTAAGTCTTAAGAGAAATTTTCACCCTCCCTGGAGTTAAATAAGCAAGAGTTGTTTTTATCTGTGGGATTTCTGTTACTTTGCAGCAGAAACCTGAAACATCTCAGAGCTCAGCTCTCAAATCAGGGATAGTCTTTTGCAATGTTTTAAGAAAATCCTCCCCATTAATATCTCTCTGTTCTCCCAAATCCCTGGATCCATTCAAGGCAGGCAACAAAACGAAGCAAAAACCCAAGTCTCTCCCTCCATCATCCTGCATCATCCCTACAACTCCTCAAACCTGCTCATGATGGGAAGGAAGGAGTCACATCAGGAAAACAGGGCTGGCTAACAAAACTTCAAGGGTTGGGGATGGATACAGACTTCCAAGAACACAACCAAAGGGTTTAACCCAGGATTTCAACTTGAAGTTTGGTGTTTTGCAACGTCTCACATTTGAGCTTGCAGCTTTAAGAATATTATTGCAACATCTTGTGAGAGTTACTACAGCAGTCTTAGATCTAAGAGTGTTTACCTGCCACAGGGATTATGTGATGTCACATATGTAAAATCTTTTACAGATTTGCTGTGGATTAAAATTAGAACTCTGCACGACAATGACCATGCTACAAAAGAGCTGGCTTAAAAATCCTCACCCCCTGCAACTGGTACACACACCCCAAAACACACTGGTCTGGTTTATGCCTCCCTCCAGGATCATTTTAGGCATCTCTATAACAGGCTGAGCAGCTATTTCTCCATCCCTCAGTTCACATCTCCACGTGTACTGAAGGCAAATTAAAGCAATGGAATAGACACACAATCCATAAAGGCAAACAGCACATTTAATTAGACACCTAGCACGACTCAACGAAGGCAGGCAAATATTTCCAGCCTTCCATAAGCCTAAAGAGGAAATCCAACCATGCTGTTAGCAGGGAGACACTTTGCACTGTGTTTATAATATCATTATTTAGGATAGAATCATTTATAATCGAATGTATTTATAATCAAAGGTACATTTAACAGCCACGAACAACAGAGATCCTGGTTTTTTTTATTCACCTTGTTTACAGGCCTTCAGAATCAGAATGAAAACAAGATCATCTATCACAGCCCTCCAGAAACATGAGGACTTCCTTTTATTCACAGTCGTTCAGAGTGAGGGGAAAATTCACTCCATGTAAAACAAAGCAACAGAATTCTGCTCACACCAACCTTCACTTTCACTCTTTTAACTGCTCCATCTATCAGAGCCCTCCAGAAACATGAGGACTTCTTTTTATTCATAGAGGGGAAAATTCATTCCATGTAAAACAAAGCAACAGAATTCTGCTCACACCAACCTTCACTTTCACTCTTTTAACTGCTCATTGAAGAAAAATTAGGACCTCCTCATTTTCTTCTTGCACAGAGATGGGGAGTGGCCTCTCCAGACAGAATATGAAGAAATAGCAAGAAAATCTTGGGCAGGTGGTAAGAGGAACATAACTCTCTCAAGCCATCAGAAGGAGAAGGAATTTTAAAGCATCTCCCTTTCATTTTGTATCAAATTAATCCTTGTCCTAAAATGCCAAGGGCAGGAAAACACTCAAAATTTGCACCAAGTGCACCTTAGGGGGGTTGGAGAAACTTCACAGCACTGATACAAAGGCCTGTGCTTGTAATTAGGCAGGACACTTCCAAGTTCATGGTACTCAAAAAGTGAAGGTAAGACCAACCTTGGCCTTAAGTAAGGAAGTAAAAGTAAAACTTAAGTAAAGGCAAGATCATCTTTAATTGCTGGAGGCTGCAATGAGACCCAGAAGAGTCTCCTGGCTACACAAGCCCAGCTCCTTGCTGTCCCAGCCAGCCCCTGGCCACCTTGGCCAATCTCCATGGAACCCTCTGCAGTTTCTCAACAAGGTTCCTGTGCCAGGAAGCCCAAAACTTGGACTCCAGATGCAGTCTCCCAACTACCACCCTGAGCAGCAAGGGGAGAAACTTGGAAGAGATGTCTCACATGCTTCCCATCCCATACTAAACATGAGTGAAGGGAGAAAAACTCTCTCATTCCAGAGATGTGCCCATTACCCCTCTCAGTAAGAACTCCTCCTTTCACCTCCAAGGCAACTTTTTGCTTTCTTTAGCTACTTTAGAGGCCTCTGTGTCCCACATCTCACAGCTCAACACAGCTCCTGGTAACTTGTTTTTCTTCTCTTTAGAGCCACCAGCCTTCTGCTGCCTTTGGTAGCTCTGCAATGAGTACATTGGTAAATCTGTGGAAGGCCAGGCCACTATCTGACACCCACATCTCTTTTTGGATGTTTTTACCTTGCACTCCATGACACTACACTCCTTTTCCCAACGAGATCCCAATCTCCACCTCAGCACAGTTCTGCAGGCAGCTACCTCCAAGGCTTGCAGTATAAACCTCACAATTGATCCTCACTTCTGGAAGCTGCAGGATCAAGGATGTTACCAATGCCCACACAGTTTTATTTACAAGTGGGATTGATTTCCCTCTCCAATAAATTTTGATTCCCCGACTGACTTTCTTCAGATGGGGGAAAGCTGCTGCTTTGTATGAACTTTGAGTCTGCATTTCCTGAGGAGAACTGCTCTTTGAAATTCACATTTTCACTTAGTTTTAGTTACAGAGACTTCTTCTGTGCCAATTCTCTAACATCCAAGTCACAGTGGAGGTGCTCTCAACAATGAAAAGAGCTGACACTACACTTTCAACCACAGGCAGCTCCCCCTCTTATAAAAAAACACCAGAAAACAAACCCCCAGACGATTCTCCTTTGGTATTGCTCATGATTTTGGGACCAAATCTCATCTGTATTAATTATTTAGGAATTCCTGAATCAAAGAAAGACTATCAAGATGGAGAGTGACAAAGCATCTTCTCCCAAGAAAAACATTTCAGAATCCATCAGGAGATTGGGCAGGAAGTTATTTTTTTGTTCATTCTTTTTTTTTCTGGTTGGTTTGTTGGTGGTTTTTTTAGTTGTTTTGTTTTTGTCCTCTGGTTGGAAAAAAAATCTGTGTTTTTTCCTTCTTCAAGAACATCTACACCCTATTGCTTATGCTTCACTTTTACCTCTAGTAAAAACCCCCAAACCTTCTGGGATAAGCATCTGATGTGACCCCAGTTTGACTGCCTGTATATTTGCTTAAATTTTGACTTTACTGTCTTGCAATAAACACCAGGCAAATGGAACACAAATTAAATTACACCCATCAAAAGCAAAGCACTAAAACACAAGCTTAAAATACGAAGGAACACACAAACTCAGAAAGAATAATTCCTGGGTTGATTCCTTCTTTTGTTTGACTGCATCATAAAAGAAGTTATATTTCATTACTGAAAAAACATTTTGGCTTCTTCCATGGTTGCAAAGAAGGGTAATTAAGACTGTCAAAGAAAACACATTGAGCAGCTGTATATTGTTAACAAAAGCACCATTATGACTGCCCTGAAAAAAAAAACCTGGCAATTCAAACATTCCCACTTCCTAGAAGTCAGAAATTTTTCCAAGCTCCACTAGAAACCAAAAAAAATGTCTTTTTCTATAAATCCTGGTCATGTATCAAGATACTCCAAGCCAGCAGGATGCTCCTAGTTTGAGAACACACCACATACATCAGAAGTGGTTGGCAACGTCAAAGTTTGCCAACTGAAAAGTGAGTCACTATAAAAAAGAAAATTAAGCTACTTTTGAAACCTGATTGAGCTGAAATTTTCTTGAAAACCATAAAGAGAGAGTAATCCTTCCAGCCTGCACTGGAAAGGAGCATGAAGCAATACTTACTCATCGAAGATCAGGTCTGGAGCAAAATAGAGGAACTGGCTGTTTGTGTGTTTGTATGATCTCCAACTCAAGGCAAACGATGACAGACACATCCATGAATACTGAATTAAAGTAATTTGGTCCTCGAGAGGCAAGTTTCTAAATCCTAGAGGTGAGAGCAGAAAATACCCATGAGCTCCACTGCACTCTACAAGGGTTGGTCAAACCAGGGCTGAAGACATCACTCCTCATTTTTTTAGTATTAATGAACAAGAGCATAGTATACTTCTGAAAAAAACAAACCTGTGATTTTTCATCCTAGCAAAAAAGCATGGTTTTTTTTTTTCTTAAAAGGCTATTAATCAAAATGAAAGCTTTTAAAATATCCATCATAGACATAGGGAAAATAAATGAATAAAGCCAACGGTCTTCTCTCAGATGTTCACTTCACACCCCCCTGGTGAAATTTTCCACCAAAACCCACGGATGAAAGATGAAATTTGCCAAGCAAGCAGCTCGTGAAGCTAAAACCAGAGATTTCAACCCATTCCTCATGGTCCTACCTGGAAGGATCTTTGCCCACTTCACCACCTGGATCATCTGCTTGCCGGCCAGGCGGTTTAGGGTGGAGAGCAGGTACTCTGCAGTGTCTGGCTTCGAGCTGTCGTACCCTGCATACACCACCTCGGGCTCGATGCTCTCCAGGATCTTGACGGGGGAGGGAGTGAGTGCTGGTGAGATGGCAGCCATGTGGGGCACCAGGGCTGTGTTGACAGGGGGCTCGCTCACGGGCGGGATGTACGTGGTCCCCTCCTCGGGGCTCTGCGGCGGCGGCTGCTGCCGCTGCTGGGGCTGCTCCTCCTGCAGCCCTTTCAACTTCCCCAGTTTTTTGGATTTCCGAGCTGTGGAGAGGAGAAGGGTGAGAATCATATCAGTACTGCAAGCTGGTGGAATTGCTTTAGAAAAAATGGGAGGCAAAAAATGTCCTCGCCAGCCAAACAGGTAGAGGACCTTAAGGAATACCCCGCGGCATCGTTATGCTGCAAAAAAAGGACCAAAAGAGACATTTTCATTGCTTTTCCTGGATGTTTTTAGGAGTGGCAGCCTGTCCAGTATCTGTCTCCACACAGACATGCATAAAACATCCCACTTATTGTGGTCGCTGCCAATTAAACGTTTCAGAAGTTTGCTTTGTAGCTTAAATGAATCACTGATTGCCTACAAGTCATGATCTCCATCGCATTTGGTCATCAAACTGCCTAAAATTAGCAGGCCTGGGGCCCTCTTAAGCTTTTGAGTCCCAGTGCCCACCCCTGGTGGCACCTCAGCTTGAAATGCAGTCAATTCATTTTGAATAGCCTAAGCTAGTCAATTTTCTTTTGCTTTTGCTGCTTTGATAGTTCCACAAGAGCTTCATCCCCTCCCCTTCTTGAGTCATGAGACAACTCTGAAAATATTTACCCAGTTAAACAAGAAACCCTGAGCCTCACGTAACACCTTGCTCACTGCTGTCAACATTGCTCTAATCACCTGCTCCTCTTTTTTTTTCTTGAATACTATCCACCTTTTTTCATTAATACATATTCTTAGAAGACAGCAATGCTCCTGTGCCTCCACTTTTTGCCATTCTCTGTGGGTTGCCTTCCCAACATTTAAAACAATCTTTAAAATCAATACATCATGAACTAAGTTTTAAAGTCCCCAGCTCTTGCAGAGGGACTTGTCTGAAATACAGCCTTCCTTAGCTATCTACACACAGCTACAACCCTTGTCTGGACTTTCATCTTCCCATCTCTTGATTATTGCAACATCCCTTTTACTGGCACCAGTTCACATAACTCTGTCTCACTCCTACTTCAAATCTTACTGCAAACACCCTTCTTAGTCCATGACCTGTCCCAAGTCTATCTCCTCCAGTATTTTCCCCCGTCATTAACTCCCCTCCCTGTATTTCCTTCAATATAGTGACTTTTCTGCAGTTTCAGGAGCCTTTCTGATCAACTTCTACCTCACCCCTCCTCTCATCTCCATGAAAACACCCAGCTGCACTCCAGCCACCCCACAGCCTCCTGGGGACTTCTCAAAGCTTGCTGCATGGACCTCTTCCTACGGTGCAAAAACCTCACCCAGGCACCTCACTAGTCTTCTACAAACTCCTTAAAACCCCCATTTTAGGAAAACCCTCAAGAGCCAAGCTGCTGAGACAACAGCCACCAGTGTCCTGCTGTTTCCTTGAACTTGGGGCTGCTTGCCCAGAGCAAGAGCTCGTAGAGCCTGCGAGGCAGGATACAGACACCCAGGGTGCAGGACAACAATAGCCTGTTGTTTTCAACACTTCCTTGCTGGGACAGTTCCTTGAACTCTGAGGAGTTGGCTCATCCCAAGATCCAAAAGGAAAGTTGATTTGTCAGGGTAAAAGGGGGACATTGCTGGAGAGAACAGCGACGTTACAGCTGGCACAGGAGATTTTGAGGTGCCCAGTCAAACAGCAGCTCCTTGATTAACATCTTCAGAACAACTGATTTGAAGATTACATCTTCAATTTGAAGACTACACCTTCAAATATAATTCATCACTGCTGTACAATGTATGGCACTGAAAGCAAAATCTGAGCACTGACTGGTGTTGTCTCCATCACACAATGGAAGAAGGATCTTCCTGGCTGATTGCAGGATCAACGTTGCTCAGGAGAGCTACAAAAAGCTTTTCATCACTTTTTCTGCAGAGCTGGACACTGCCTCATTAAATCACCTCCACCACCTATTTCTCCTTTTTTTTTCTTCAACCTCCAGCCCAAGTAAGATAGGTTGAGATTTTTTTAATAAAAGGATTAGATACGGATATAAAAATGTGCCTGTCCTAATAAAATTTCCCTTTAATTTCTGTTGTTCAGCTATCCATGTATAGTTAATCAAAACTTCCTAATTCCCTGAAACATTAGCACAGATTACACAGGGGAACAGAGGAACTGCTGTCATTGGAGGTTTTAAGGAAGAAGCCAGACAAGTTATCTCTCAGGAAAGGTTTCACTGCAGCTGATTGTGTCTCAAGAGACAGGCCAGATGAGAGGATTCTTATAAAAAAAGTCCCTTATCATCTTATTTCTTACTTATCTATTACAAAAAACTCTTAAACAAGGTCATTCAAACAATGAATCACAACTGAAGGATTTTTCACCCTCCAGTGCACCAAGTGACACCCATTCCTCAGGATGCAATTTCCCCTCCCAGTACCCAAAAAGCCATTTTACAAAGCAGCAGCTGATCAGACATTTTGTTAAACAAGTTTTCACCTCACTCTGCAAAATGAAAGGGAGTTAGAGGCAAAGGAGACCACTCTGAGAAATTTAACTCTGAAAAGTAAGAGAAAAAGGCTCCTGCTCCCCATTTGGTGCAGTGGTACCCCCAAGGATGATGGGCTGGTGAAATCACTGGGGGCATGAAACATAGTTGGCATTTAGCTTAGAAAGATCCATCTTAGAAAACTTACACAGTTTTTAACAAAATAAAGCCCAAAAGTAAAGCAAGGAGAGCCAAGTTCAGCAGAATACCTGATGATGAGTTAACAGAGCTGCTGGCCACTGGAAGAGTATAAAAATAAGCCTGATGGAGTGGATAGAGATTAGTGATTTTTGTTGTTATTCATTAAGTTTAATCAGATTTGTTGGTTTTTCTTCTGGTAGCAAAACAGGACTAAAAACAAAGAACTTTACACATCTTTCAGGTGTTCAGAGGCCAAAAAAAAGAAGCATTCTCACCAGAACTACACCAGAATAAGAAATAGATTGATTTACCAAGTCCATCAAGTATCTAGCAACACAGATAGCTGACTACATATTTATTAAGACATAATTTTGCACGTTCCATTCTGTAGGAGTTTTTCATCAGAAGAAAAAAAGAAGCAACATGCTCCCATGTATAATGCTGGCGTAAAAAATGTGTTTTAGTTTCATTTTCTTGCTTTATAATGCCTTTAAAATGAAGCTGAGAAAAACAT